AAGTATGTAAAAACTCTAGAATCTAGTTTAAACCGGAAATAGTTCGAAAATATTCTAAAAGATATTGTTAAATTAGAGTTCTAAGGAAAGTAGGAAATTCGCGAAAAAACTAAAAATTCTGCCGGATTTTTGTCGCATAGGTAACTTGGTTGCAGTCGCATAGGCCATTTGAAAAATGGCCATTTGCTTTCGGTATGACACCATGCGACCGCATGGCTTGGGGTCGCATAGTGTCACATTTTGGCCTCCACTTCGCTTTCTTGATTCGATAGTCTTCCAACCCTTTTCGGCCCTCGACTCCAACATGGAACTTGACCATAAGCTAGTAACTCCATCCCGGTGAACTTTGTGGCCCGTTCACTTGATTGTGTAGCTTCTTTGGCTTGATTCGAACTCCGACTCGACCTTGACTTCTTCTCAATGCACTTCGAATCTTCACCCGTTTGAAGCCTTGCCTGGATCACATTACGACCTCTGCATTCTAATGAGGTGTTCTAGTATGCGAGTAATATCTATGTGAAAGGTGGCAGCGATTCTGTCGGTACATTTTTTTAGGTCACGCCGTTTGTGGAAAGAACAATGCTACAGTTACAGTCCCCCTTCACATTCCACTCACATGGAGGTGGGGCCCCACCCACCCACGTGTGAGAGGACTATGAAACTCACTGTGAAGGGGGACTGTACATTTAGCAAAATTGTTGTGGAAAAGGTATATTAACCATGTTATCACCAAGTCTAAAAACCCACCTGAAAATATGGTTTCACGGTCAGTTTCCTACCGGTAGAGAGCAAAGACAACAACCAGAAAGGTTGGGATTTTCCGGGCAATTCCCTCTATCAAAACGGCAGAGTCGACCATCGAAAAAGAAGAAGAGGAAGGTCACGGGATAAAAGGGTTGAAAAAAGGAGTTTTTCGACGAAAAATCAAACCAAACAACGACCATAATCAATTATTGATGATGCCAATGGAAGAGAAGTAAAAAGTCAGCCTTCATAATTCCTCTGATTGAATATGAAAAATGAAAACAAATTCTTTCATTTAATGTCAGACAAGGAGAAGGAAACCAGAAAGTAGGAAACTTGATATTAATTCAACAAAAATCCATGCAACCTCTGTCGGCAAATTCAAAGGGAAGAGGAACCCATTATTATTATTCTTTGATTTTAATAATTATTGACAATGACTTAAATCTAATCATATTTTTAAATTGAACTAAATAGGGACGGTGTCTTTTTCCAAAGGGATTCCAATCAATAATGCAGCATAATCTATTGCACAGCGTCACATTGTTGGATCTTTTAATTTCACCACTCTCCTTTACACAATCAGCTGCAGCCACGTTACGCTACCACAATCTGAAAATCACATCATTTGTGGATACAAATTCCCATTTTCTCTTACACAAGCTGCTCCTGCTGAATTCTCAACAATGTCTTCTTCTATACCATCCAAAATGAAGGCCTGGGTTTACTACGAGTACGGCGGCGTTGAGGTGTTGAAATTTGAGGCCGATTATGCAGTGCCGGAAGTGAAGGATGATCAGGTCTTGATCAAGGTGGTGGCGGCGGCTCTTAATCCCGTTGATTACAAAATAAGGCTGGGGGAATTTAAGACCATTGATTCGAAGCCTCCTGTAAGTTTCTTTTACTAGAAAAAAGAGAAACTCGTCCAAACTTTCACCCAAATTTGGAAAATAAAAAACAAATTCCAACTTTCACTTTTACCTTATTTGATACACTATATTTTCAAGCAATTGATTTTCCTTGGTTTTGGATTTCCAGGTTACTTTTTAATTAATTTATTTTTTAATATTTTTTACAATGGAAACAAATTCTATCCACAATTGTTAAAAAAAATTTTCAATGAACAATTTCCATGAAAAGCAAAGTCAAACAAACGTCAAAATATCCAAAATTTCAATATTTTTCAGTTGAAAAATTATAAAAATTAAACACAATTAATTTACAATTGCCAAAAAAACAATTTTAGTTTTAGGCAATTCAATTCTCTGAAAATTCCACAATTGCAATCAGATGGACCCAAATTTTTATTCAGTTTCTTTGTGCCATTATGAGCGTGTTTCGATGAGATTAAAATAATCAAAACTCACTTTTAATTCAATTTTTTTAATCAGCTAAAGCACGATTATGCCTTGGGAAAACTGAATAGTTTATCATGTACTCTTGGCCATGAAAATGGATGCTGGAGGTATTACTCACAGAACATATATATTTGTCTTCAATTTAGCCCACTTTTTAGTTTGAAAACATGGTATAATTTTATCATTATCGATTTCGCTTAATATATCATTCTTAATATCCAATTTGATGGTGTAGGTGGTGTTAAACCACCGTTTTACACCAAAAAACGGGGCTCAGAAACCTCCAATCGACACCACAAGAGAAAACCCACAACCCCAACCTCACACAAACGGTTGCTCCACTGTTTTCTTCTGCCCACACAGGAAGTTCTAAT